CACAGCAAGCCAGAAAGCACGTCCACCTTCCTCATTCAAAGCATAGAAGGAGGGGAGAAGACAGGAAGGCCTCTCCTTCTTCTTCCACCCTGTCACTGGCTTCTGAGAGACCATTAAGCATCACATCTCTGCTCACCATGTTGGAGCAAGACACTGGCTACATGTACAGATCCCAGTGACAGATGGAGAGGGGAGACTTTGAGAAGAGACCACAGCAGCAACAACCTGACCATGTAACTCAGGAGTGAGAGGCCATACTGCAGCCAGACCTGTGTCAGTCTTTCCTGGCAATCCACTGGTGAGGAGAAGTAAGAAATTGATGGCAGAATATATGGGATGTAATTCTTCTATGATTGCACTGCACTCACCACTGGAACACCTCTCCCCTATGATGGTGCTGCTGCTGAGTCACAGGAGCAAGACATCTGATTAACCTTCCAGAGCACCTCCACCACACCAATCACGGTGCCAAAGCATATCAAGCCTGATCCCACTGATGCACAAGAAAGGAAGATGAGGCTGGGGACTCAGAATCACCAAAGTGCATGTCTTGCAGAATAGTTAGCAGGTCACCCAAAAACATGCTTCAGCAAAGGACAGAAACCACCAAGTGTACCAGTAGAGAGACCCTTATGCCTTGTCGACAGATCCTATCACAGATTTTTGCACTGCAAGTCCACACTAAGAATGTAGATTCTAGGGATGAGAAAGATAGGGAAAGGAGTCAAGTTTCAGAAGAAATAATGCCTCATTTCACACAAGCATGAGAAATGAGTATGATCCATTATTCTTACTGGTACCTATCAGATGAGAGTCATTACCAGCTTTGATTATACTGGCTGTGGTCTTGTGAAGGACTTCATCCCTGGGGGCATCTGTGGGATTTGTGATGCCTTCAGAGCCATGTCTTGATTCATTATCTGAAGGCAGAGGTGGCTGAGTTGGGTCTTTGTGGTGGGCATCATCAGGAGAGGTAACAGCTGTTACCAAGATGCGAGTTGCCCATGCTTCCTTGGTTATATCTTCTGGTACCAGAACATCAGTGGAGGCTGTGACTGTTGTGATGATGGCTAAGTTAACTTCAAAGACATTTAAAAACCCTATCTTAAAAATTTTTCCCTCTTTATTTAATTTAGTAATCTCTAGTCTTTTATTTATTAGCCTTTGTAGAATATGCAGTGAGAAGAAAAAAAACCCAAACCCACAAGCAAAGAATATCTTCTGTATATGACACGCTTTTTGGGTTGTCTGTTCCTTCACTAACACCCTAATAATAAAGTTTAATATCAATTTAAAATTACACTACTGAAAGTTATTGTCAGTAAGCAAAATCAGACACCGAAATATGCATTTACAAACAATGCAGCCTAAAGTGTTAGTTTTGAAAATACCTCACAAACACTACTTAGAAGGGCAAAAATAGTAATGTTATTTTCATAATAAAATGAGTATAAGAATTCCTGTTGTTACACAGGAATTATATTAGAATGACTAAATTTAAAACATTTGAATAAATTGCCAAATCATACTTGCTTTTTCATATTTGCAACTGATCTGTCAAATCACATAATCTTAATAAACAATGAACTGTGAAGCTTTACCGAGTCTCCTTCATATTTAGAAAACAGGAGTAGGGGGTAGAGAATACAACTATGTTTTAATCCACGAACTGTATTTTAATTCACACAATCTTTAGCTTTCATAGCTCTTTGGCAAATCCTAAATGTTTTGGATTAAATAATCCTGATGAAAATAGATTTTGAAGAAGAAAAGGGAAAGCATAAATGGTAATTTTTCCTTAGAATTTCTTTTTTAGAAAATGTAAGAGACATGCAAAAACTTCCAAAGCACTATGATGTCATAAAAATAAATAATATTATATTGTATTATATGAAAAAGCAGTATTTTGAACTCAGGTAATTTTAATTGGGTAACATGCAGATCTTAGGAAATTAAGTTAGAACTTTGAGGAACTACATGAACAAACTCCAGTAAATTGTTTCAAATTTTACAGTATTAAGAGACTATGTGGAAATATCAAGACCAGGAAAAGTCAGACATGAAAAGACATATTTAAGTTTATGATTTATTTACGCTACTGGCCATTTCCACAAAGCAACTGCTTTCTCAGTATTCCCATCTACTAAAAATAAATATAAATAAATAATAAAAATAAACCTGAGAAAAGTCAGGGGACATAAGACACAGGGCATTCAGGGAAAAAATATCCTTAAATAGGGAGCAATTCTTGTTGGGATATTCACATGCAAAAAAATGATAAAAATATTTGCACTGCAAGTTCACAACAAGAATGCAGATCTCCAAGATGAGAAAGATAGGGAAAGGAGTCAAGTTTCAGAAGAAATAATGCCTCATTTCACACAAGCATGAGAAATGAGTATGATCCATTATTCTTACTGGTACCTATCAGATGAGAGTCATTACCAGTTTTGATTATACTGGCTGTGGTCTTGTGGAGGACTTCATCCCTTGGGGTATCTGTAGGATTCCTGATGCCTTCAGTACCCTGTCCTGGTTCATTATCTGAAGGCAGAGGTGGTTGAGTTGGGTCTTTGTGGTGGGCACCATCAGGAGAGGCAACAGCTGTTATGATGGTTAAATAACAGATGACTTAAATATAGATTATTTAATCAGCTGCGAATTCCATCAGTGTGCTGCTGTGGCCTTCCCATTCCTATCTCATTCAAGTCTCCTTAAACCACTGTCAACACAAAAAATAAGAGAAGGGAGACCTGTCCCATACAGGTCTACCACTGCTCTCTCAAGGTTTTGATGAGACATTTTCATTTGCTCATCTACTTTTTTACTTAATAAAAAATATTCCCAAGGACAGTGGACACAGGGACATAGATACAGCAGTCCCTGACCTGTGTCCCAGGCTGACTACAGAGCCGCGACTTCCAGGACACTGCCATGTGCTGTTACAGCATATTTTACATTGCAGGTATCAATACTGACAGTAAAGAACCCTTTCTACAGGCACTGTAGAAAGTTACTCAAGACACTGTGAGTGGTGACAAGTTATAATTCATTGTTCTTACTAGTAGTAAGAGGGGTCTGCAAGCGGTTAAGATGGTCTTCACTGTCTGGAAGAATTGCAGGTATCCAACTGACATGGGAACCATCGGTGGTGTTTGCTTGTTCACTTTTCCTTCCAGGTGGAGTGCCGGGTGCCAGTGGCTCCTTGGTTGCTTTCTCTTGGTTAACATCCTCCACAGACTCTGTGACTGGCATGATGGTGCCATGATCAGCTTTAAAATGGAGCACTCACAAAACCACCACCCATATTGTTTCCACATTGTATTTCCATATTGCACCACAGCAAGCCAGAAAGCACGTCCACCTTCCTCATTCAAAGCATAGA